TTGAGCTGGAACCGGAGGATGTTTCTGCTTGAACAATCACATAACTGACTGATTATTAAAATAGTTGCCAGTTATTAATCTATGAACCGACTGAATCGACTGTGTTATCGTTTTGACCAATAGATAAACTCCTTCACGACTGAAACACAGCAGAGCTGCTATAAAAAACTTTCCCTACATTTGAGTGGATTTAAACATGAACTGGATATTTACAGTGGAGTATTGTAAATGCACAAACAATGAAACCAGAGGGTAACTGAACAGGAAATCACTAGTCGAGCACCTACAGTGTCTGACTTGTACAAGCTTGCATTGCTATGAATTGTTGGACACAGTTTTTTTGGTGGAAGCAAAGCCTTTTATACACTTACTGGAAGTGAAGAAAAAAAATGAGGATATGAGAGAAGGATATTTCTGCCTTTGCTTCATATAAATTACATTCATTTCATTTTTTACTACATTGGGCAGAAGCTTCTGTCTGAAGCAACACAAATGAGGCACAATCCAAGCCACAGTACATCAAGGAGAATTAGAAGTTAATTTCACTTTGTTTGGCAGCCATCTTTTATTCGGACATTTCGGGGATTACGGCCTATAGTCCCAAAGCCAACATTTTACGAGGAGTACAAACCACGTCAGGCTCTAAAATGCTTCTTTAGAGGACTGCTGTGATAGCATAAACATTAAACCCATGTTTTTCTAGGTGGGTATCCTTAGAGTTGGACAAGCATATTTCCTGTAAGATGACCTTCCCCTGGAATTCATAATAAGAGTCTTATCTTAGACTGACTGGCTTCATTGCTTAAGTTTTACATGTATTTCAATGGTTTATAGGATCAGAAAGGAGTAGCAAAAGACAACATAACATAAACCGGACTCAGGGAAGCATAATGCATCATCACAAATGATTTTCTACACAAGGGATACGTATAAGAACATGATAAGCGTTGAAACAACAATATAAAAACACAAATCCTTTCCTAACAAGGGTCATTATCAAGAGATGATTACTCTGCCTCAGTGACGCAGCAGCAAACCAGGCGACAAAAAAACCCAGAAAAACTTAAAAACAAAGTCTGCTGCCTTGCTCTTGCATCACCGCTGAGGTCCGCCCAATAACCACAAATTGCTGGCACCAGCAAAAGTTCTGGACTGGGACCAGCTCCGGGTACACATTTTAAGATTAATGGATTGGGATAGTCACCATGGCAATAAAAAAATCCCTGAAAAGAAACCATTACAACCTCAAGCAACGGTTAAAGTTGATAGTACTCTGTGTAGGAGGGAGTGAGGTATTTTCTACAGATGTTCACCAGAAAAATATAGATTTTTAAAACCTAATTTACAGTATGTGTTGAGGTGATGACCGACTGGGCCCAAAACTGACCAAAGCTATAAAACTACTCAACATTTAGGATGTTACAAAATGCCTATAATTCAAGCTTGGATCTTTATAGAAGCATTTTACCAAGCTTAAAGGGTTAATTTAACCAAATTACAGTATAGCACATTTCCTCACCTATCTCTACTGTGATCTAACCATAGAAACAGTTCTGGGTCCACGTGCTGAGGTTTTGAGTTATCTGTGTCAGAATACAATGGAGGCCAATATAAAGACCAATATAATTTCATTTTAGCTGCTCATGGCATTAATTAAATTACATTCGAAACTCGATTATTATTATTATTATCATTATTTTTACCACTTTGGGGCAGGGCAATGAACTGTAAGCAACATTGATTTAACACCTAATAAAGTTGATATGGCAATCACGTTAGCTTATTTACACGTCCAACAGGCACAAAGCAAAATTACCATTCATACATTCATTGTGTTTCAGGCCGTCTGATGCATGTAAATACAATATTCACTCTTTTCGCTCCGTTTTTGGTCTCTGCCGACACCTGAGGGAAACATCTGGCTCTTCAGCTGCTACATGATGCTCCACACTTTTGACTGGGTAAGTAGCATAAAGTCAGAATATGAGAGCGTTTACGTGGCAAAATAGCTGCCTGCTGCTTATAGCGAGGTTGATGAGACTGAACCAAAACATTAAAAGCTGCAAGTTGTCAATCAGACAGTTATTTGAGCCTTTGTTTATATAAAAATATTGATTACTGCAGCTTAAAAAAAAACAAAAAAACAAAAAAAAAGCTGTATCTCTTTCCAGAAACAATGTCCAAGTTACTGTGGATAATCAAAAAAAAAAAAAAAACACACTGATTTATATTGGATCTATTGCGACTACTTTCTGCCAAAGTAATTGTCCAAATGAAAAGTGTTAACAGCATGTTCTTTTGATTATCCACAATAATATTCCTGGAAAGAGACGTTGCTATTGTTAGTAAAAAGTAGCTTTTAACTGCTGTGACACCACAAGTGGAATGTCATTCACCTCCACTGAAATGAGGGTGGCAGCAGAAATCATACCCATGTATCTCAAAATCTTAAGTAGTAAATAAGTAAAAAGTTTCCTTTACTCATAATTTCACTTCAGTAAAAGTACAGAAGAGTTTGCAGAAAAATTTACTAAGACGATCAAAAATAAATGTACTCATCATAGAGAAAAATGGCCTCTGTAAGTGTTATATTATAATAAATTATAACATTGGATCATTAATGATGCTTTTATGTAGCAAGTAGCATTTTCATGTTTAAGTTGGTCAGATTTTGCAATGCTGAATTAATGTTATAGTAGTTTATAACAAATATGAACCCATTTTTAAACCTGTGATCCGAAATGTAATGAGCATCTAGCGCTATCAAATAAAGCAGTCATGTAAAAAGTACAATATTTCTCTCTGAAATACAGCGGAGTAAAATTGTGAAGAAGCATAAAATGGAAATACAGTACAAGTACGTCAAGCCTTTACTTCAGTAAATGTACTTGTAGTTACTTTCCACCACAGCGCATGGCTAGAACAAGAGACCAGAGAAGAGATTATGTGTAATTTAGGCGAACTGACCCCAGGCAATGCTGTAATTATGTTAGACTTTAGCTCTACCAACACCTCTTCTTCCTTTTTATTCAGAAAAGACGGACGAGGAAAAGAGCACATGCAACACTTTGCTTTGAGCCTCAGGCATGCATGAAATCAGACCTGGTATGCGCTCACTGGAATAATTCATATGGCCGCATGATTCCAAATTCTAGGAATACCACATGTTGATCGCTCCCAGAGATAGGCCGGGGTTCACATTGCGCCTCTGTGGGCCAGAGGGGCTTAAAGAGAGAAGCTCTGGTCATTACAGCACCACGGGGGAGCTTGTCTGATCACAGCTCCTCACTCCACACTCTGTTTACATTCTGATCAGCAACACCAAGCCCCATCATCCCCGTACAAATGGATGTTTATTTAGACAGCAGACCCGAACAGGATTTCATTGTAATCTCTGTGGAGGGTGACAGTGAAAACATCACTCTAGGGTTTCAGCCAGTGGGGAAACTGCTGTTCAGCAGTGTAAATAGAGAAATTACATCCCATAAGCGCAGTGGAGGGAAGAAAGGGCTCTTTCTTAAGACTAGATATGGGAGATGAAATGAGCGTGTGCATAGTTTCTGGTTTCTACCACTGAAAATGTTTAGTGTATAAGGGTTTAAGAGCATAATTCTTGACACACTGATCCTTACTCAGATGTTGATCAAAGAGTATTTAAAGTTTTATGTGTCTTAATCTATTTGGGGCAACAGGTGGGTGGAGATTACAGATCACAAGCTCTCACTCTAAACTCGTTAAAAGTGAATTGCTTCTTCTGATCAGTCCACCACTCTGAAACTAAACGGTAAAGACCAACTTTCACATACCGTTTTATCTAGGTCTCCTCACTGCCTCAAGGAGACTATGCTTAAGGAGCTATGCTTAACTCAAATCAAATAAAAATAGTTTGTCAGTTTGAGCTCTTTTTGGTGTGTGTGGTCTTTTTGGTGTGGAGGCTCGGCACAGTGGGAGAGCAGTTCAGCAGGTTATTCACTGAGCCGCACACTCAGGACAGAATACAGAAGTCTACCTCCGGCCTGGTGATGTGTTCCAACAAACACAAAGGACAGTTTGGGGGGTACGAAGGATCGTCATCCTGCTCGCTGCACTAGTGAATAGTACTGGTAAGTTTATCTGCAACCAAACTGTTTGCAACCCTCCTCAGGGCCAAAACAAACTTGACCTCCAGCTCAAGCATTTACTCTGATTGGTTAATGGTTGGCTTGATTGTCATTAGCAGCGGTTTTAATTGGCAAAAAAAAAAAAAGAGAAACATTTACTTTAAATGTCATCCTCACAAACACTGCACAGTCACTGAAACTTAAAGGAGTGGAGTTTTTGGCCACTTGGAGCGCTGCGGAGCAATGTTTTTAGGAGTGGGTCTCTGATTGATTGAAACATGCACAGGCCTAAAAGGATGTCAAAGATTTCATGGTATTTTGCTGATAGTTGGTGGCATTATCACGCCCCAAATGGAGCAAATAAAACTCAAAGATTGTGAAGAAAAAGACTCCAAGCAAAAACAGATTGAGATAATAAGCTTTGCAAACGTTTTATGAATAAGGAAATTCATGTGTAAGATCTAAATATAACTTTGTTTGTGCCACAGGGCACCTACAAGCTTAAGTAAATACCTACAGCACTGTTTCCTAACCATTTTAGCTTGTGATCTCTTAATACAAAGAAATGTCTACGCAGGATCTCTGAGTAGTTCAACCAAACATTCCCTCTCAGACGTTTTATTTGGATACAGGTGAAACTATCCAGCATTTGACAAAAAAGTTAAGATTAGAGAAAGGTCTAAAACAAACAAAAAAAAGCATAATTTTCTGTTGCAGAATTTCATTTTTCCTTGTTTCCTACCCCAGTAATCATCTCACGACCTTTATACCTCTTCATCTTGCAGCCTCTTGCAGGAGGGAAACCAATAGTGTGATGTAATTTTTGTTCTAGAGGGCCCAGAGGCACATTTCCCCCAAACTGCCATAAACTCTAAAACAGAGGTGACATAAGGGACTGACCTTGGCGTTTTGCAGGGCGGTCTGGTAGCTGGACGGCTTGTAGTACAGCCTCTGTGACGGCTCGGTGTGGATATCTCCTAGGAACAGCTCCTCCACCAGGTGGTCCAGGTTGTGATGCAGGTACTGCTTCTCCACCCTCAGCAGCTGCAGCTCATGCATGGCAAAGTTAAGCTCCCTGGAGCAGTCGTAGCCGCCCTCCTCGCTCCACAGCTCATAGATCACACTGGGCTCCCAGGGGCCCTTCACTGCCCCTCGGCAGCTCTGGTTGAGCCTCTGGCTGAACTCTTTGGCCACGGAGGCTGTGTGACACACCATCTGGACGCGGTGGAGGTGGTACTCTGCCTCAGTGCCGCCACGGATGATCCAGGAGGCCTGACGTAGGCGCAGACGACCCCGGATTACCAGAGTGTAGGTGGGTTTGGTGCAGTGGTTGTCCTCGTAGTAGAACTGGTGAGCCTGGAAGGTGTTGTTGGGGAAGAAACTGTAGGAACGTGTCAAGAACTCCGGTCCTGGTCTCACCTCACAGCTGCAACCAAAAACAGAAACAGTTCAGTTTGCACATTAATTATTGTTTATCTTACAACATGCATGTGTTTACCGAGTCTTTTGTCTTAATGAGCTAATGGAATATTCTGGCAGTTTGCATGTTTTTAGCCTGTTGACTACATATTGTACACACTTTACAGTGTCATTGTCCAGAGCAAATCATTAGTTTTATGAATGAATGATTTTGTTTTTACCCATCAGGCAGCCATTGCTGTAGGAAAATCGATTTGCAGAGTCAAAACCCTCTTGGAGATCAGTGTAATCTATTACAGAAAAACTTGTAGTCCAACTGGGGTCTAAGTTGCATTCGTCTTTTCAGTTGCCAGCAGGGACCACTTTGAAGAGTGCTGCTCTGTGGTGTATTCAAAGAACCTCAGAAATTCAAAATTTAGTAGTTAGCTGATGCAAAGCGTTGCATTTAAAAGCAGTGGCTTTTAGGGAAAGAAGACAAACCAAATGCAAACTAGAATTACTGCCTCGCGGTTGTATCCCTCCGCCACTCAGACTAGTTTCAGGTTACATCCCTGTTCATCAAGAGTCACATAAAATATTAACCGTTTGTGTGAAATTCTGTGTAATTGAAGTCCTGAGTTGTGGCTAAAAAGTGTGCCGTTTTGTGCCGTTACACTGACCTTGACCTTTGACCTTTGACCACCAAATTGTACTTGAAAAGTAAGAAATCACTCTATAAGCTCTTGTTTGGTATAATGAGCCATAACATGTACAAACACCAGTGTGGTCTTTTAGATATTGTTTAAACATATAGGCACAGTTGCATTAGATTATGTATAATGGCAAAACTTCCTGCTTCCCTATGAAAAGGATGCACAGAAAACATAAGGCAACATCCATCAGTCCATAGTTGTTTACCTGGTGGACACCCAGTGACCCTCCACATTGGGAGGCATCTGCACAGTGATCCTGGCTCCATTGTGGAGGTGCTTCAGCATGTGTTGGCACTGGGAGTCTTTGACCGAGCGGCCGAAGGTTTTCTCCAGGGAGAGGCGGCTGGAGCGGCCGTCTGAGTAGTGGAGATGGGAACCTTCAGCCCAGCCTGTGGGAACAACAACCACAATGAAGATTAAAAAGCAAGTAAATGAATAAAGGGATGATTGTCTGAGAAAAAAAAACAACAACATAAAAACATAAGGAGATTCCATCCATGAGACTTTTGTGTAACATGGCGACATTTCATTTCAAAGAAGGTGAGAGACTTTCATGATGAGAAAGCAGAGACGGCGAAACCACAAACATGGCCAGCTGCCATTCAGGACTGTTTCAACCTAAGCCGGTTGCCAGGCTGAAATTAAGGTTGTAATGTTAAATAAACAACTAATGAATCGGTTTAGTTTGGCAGAACTTTTTCTCTTAGATCTTAACATCCTAATAAATGGAGCACAATTATTTTCAAGGCAGCTAATAAGAAAGTTAATTACATTCAGATCAAGTAGAAAAAGCAGAGGACTTTTTAGTTTGAAGTTAGCTCTCATGTTTTCAATATGCCACATGTTTAGAGGGTTTAATTCAATCATTTTAACTCATCACCCGGGGATTACAGGGCTCTATCAGTGACCTCCAGCACCTGGTATGATTGGGTCATGGGTTAATATTCTCTGATCATGTGACGAAGATGCCAAAGTTGAAGAACTAACGGGCGACTTTCTGCTCTCATATCAGACTTGAAAAAACACTAAAACAAACTCTGATATCAAGCTGTAAACAAAGTTAAAAGGACATGAGCGGCACTGAAACTCTCAGCTCCCATTCCTATCCGCACATACCCTCGATGCGCCACATGAAATAACAATACCTTCAACAATGAGCCGAGCTTAGGGGGATAAAATATCGGAAATGAAAGCATTTTCAAAGCCCGGAGCCAAAGAAAAGCCTTGAAGCTCACATTCCAGGGAGGATTTATTCCATGTAATACTCTAATATCATCAAAATCTACCTTGAAATATGAAGACTTTGCATTAAATTCCTCCTATCAGACCCGACTTGCCTGGCAATATCATTTAACGCCAAAGGAATGCCGCTGCGGTCGCCCGTGTGCTTTTAATTTGAGACTAATAATGTCCAAGAGAGGAACACAAACATCTGATTAAAAGAAGCCAAAAGCTCCATGAAGAACAAAGATATATCCAGCTGTTTTACACCCAGTGAGGCAGCTCCTACGTGTGTTAGCCGAGGCTTGTGTGTAAATCACCACATCATAGCGCTGCTCAGTGGAAACACTGGACAGTTGATCCCCTGACTCAGCTGGTGGCATTAGTAACGCTGCTCTGCTGGCTGGAGCTGTGTTAAAAATCAAAGAAAAGGCTTCATAGTTTGCTGAATGTTATGTGTGTGTCTGTGTGTGTGTGTATGTGTGTGTGTGTATGGCGTTTTTTTTTTTGCACCTGCAGTCGGCTTGGACCAGGGGGAAAGAGCCTGAGCGGCTGCCAACAGCTTGTTTTCACAATGAGGAGAGCAGAAACTATCAGCGTGTGTGTGAATTTAAAAAGGAAACCTGGTGAGATGTGCAATACAAACACGCTTTTAACCTCGCTGACGTTTCCGCCGGTCAAATGCCACCGCAGTTTTAATGGCAGGTGAATCTCAGGGCAGGACAAACACACACACACACACACACACACACACACACAGACACACACACAGACACACACACACACACACACACACAGGTGACTGTATGCATGGAACAGATTCCCTCATTCAATTTCCTCAAGAAATGAAATGAACCAGAAATTTATCAAATTATGCATCAATTACTAACCTAAATTTGTTCATATTACAATTTCCTAGAGCTGAAACAATTATTTAATTACTCAGTCAATTGACTGAGGATTTCATGGCAGCATCTTTGATAATAGAGCCATCAATTGAATCACTTCTTTAAGCAAAAACTCTCAAAATTCACAGCTTCCTGCTTCTCAAATATGAATATTTGCTCCTTTTCTAAGTTTCTTTGGATCCTTTGGACTCTCAATAAAACATTTGAAGATGTCGCCTTGGGATTTTGATCAATTTTATTAGTAATTGATCGATCAAGACGATAACTGGTTTCATTTATAAATGGAAATAATTGTTAGTGACAGCTCATCCAGTTTCAACAGCTGTCTATTAACCGACAACAGCTACGACAACCAGTGACATCTGACCTGAAGTTTGACCAACACCTATCAAGTGCATCTTACAGTCTTCCTCAGCAGATGGAGTTACCATCACATGATCCAAGTGTGGCGCTTCAGTCACATGACGAGAGGCGGACATGCTGTATCTATGGGGGACGTCTGGTCTCTGAAGGTGAGATGTGACTGAAAGCTCCAGAAAAAGCCGGTGAATGGTCTTTGAGGTAAGACGTTTCTGAAAAAAACGGCGCATTTTTCATTACTGAGGCAAATCTCGTTCTTGATATCGTCCTGCAACCAAAACCCTGAATCCAGAAAAGTGTTGTTTCCTTTACAACAGACTCTGGATGAAAAGGAAAAGTTGTATGAAAACACAAGAAGATGATGACAAGATGGTGAATTTATCACCTGACGTTTTTGTATTTTGGATGCATATAAAGCATTTTGAAAAAGCTGAATGAAGCGGCCTGAAAAGGTCCAAAAACCCTCAAATCCAAAACCTTCTCCTCTTGTATTTCCAATATTTCAATAGTTTCCTTCCCGCCATTCACACTGCAGACTCTTTCCTCTCACTTAAAAAGACGTTGAAAAAGTAGAAAGGTTAGCAAGCATCTGATTGATCTGTTTTTAATGGCACATATGAGTAAATGCTGTGTCTGATGTTAGCCTGTTTGATTTGATATTAAACTGTGTGCGTCAGTGACAGAGCTGATCCAGAGTCAGCAGCGTCAGACCAACACTTGTTTAAGAATCACTTGTGGCTTGGTGAAAATATCAGGATCATAATGAAACATGAGCTTTATTTAGAACAGTTTTAAACACAGTTACAAATCTTTTTACAAAGAGCTATATCAGATCAAAGCCAAAAGTGAACCCGCTCAAAATGGAAAACAGGCTTACAGGGAAATAAATGGGAAAATGATTAAAAGGAGGTTGTGTGTAGCCTGTTTGTAAAATTACTTTTTAAGAGGAAGCGTCATACATCTCTTTGTGTAGACACTTTAACGAGTGTTGAATGTGTGAGTAGGGGGAGTTTCTTCCAGCTTTCTTCACACACACACACACACACACACACACACACACACACAAACAAAACTCCTCCCTCATTAGGGCAATCATCAGACTGGCTCGACTCGAACCCTCTGGTCCCTCGCTGCCGCTGCTTTCCCAAACTGCTGCTCTCTATCTGAATCAAAGCGCCCACAAAACTCCCAGAGCCCTAAACCACAGAGAACATTTCCAGTTGGCCTGATCCCACTGGTGAGGTAACAGCGCTGGGACCCCTGACAAGCAGAGAGACTCCACATCGTTTATGGGAAGAGAGAAAAAAAAAAAGAAATCCAGAAGCGCCAGAGCAGAGACCAGACAAAGGACTGTTCTTTGTGTTATCTCAGAGTTTGGCAGTGACCACGCAGGACTTCAAGGGGGTAGAGAAAATATCGCAATACGTTAAAGTAACTAAATCCAGAGGTGGGAAATAACTAAGTACAGTACAGTTTTAAAGTCGGTGCTGGTGCTTGAGTATTTTTATTCTTTCTATCTCTACTTCACTGGATTTCAGAGGGAAATATTGTACTTTTTCTACTCCAGTCCACATGTATCTGACAGCTGCAGCTGTGAGTCACTTTGCCCAGATAAGGATTTTACATTCATCATGTAAGGTCATAAAATACTGCCTTTCTTTTTTGGGGAGTTTGCAGCCATGCTAAAGTTCTGAGGCTGAATGCTAACATCAGTGCGCTAACATCACAATAGCAACGCTAATCTTCAAAACTTAATTAAACTTCATCCTCTAGGGCACTGTGGATATCTACATCCAATAGTTGTTGAGATGTTCCACTAAAGGCCAAAAAAATGTCTCCTTCACAGAGGTAAAATTTCATGGCATTCCATCTGTAATATTTGTTTGAGTCTGGACCAAAGTGGCGGACCGACCGGCCGTCACTGCCCTTGTAGCGCAGCTCAGCTTCCCAGGAAGCCTGGAAATAACTCGAGGTTGAGTGTCATGTCACAGTGTGTTTCAGACATCATCTTAAGAGTCATAACACACTTACATGTACCACATGTTCATGGAGCAACGGTTTCACGCAAACAGGGCCCATTCAGTCTCACCTCAAACTCCATTTAGTGGAGGTTCTGGAGCTTTCAAGCTTTTCCGAGGCTTTTTGTCACTAAGATCAATGATGTTTGAAATTCAACTTTGAAGCCAACGTGGACAAAAATAGTAAAGTCAGTCAGGAAGTAAACGGAAACACCAACATCTGCATTTCCACGACAACTGACAAACTCAGTCTACTGATAGAGACCAGATACTAAATTGACCTTGGGGTGTGATTTTTGTTTAAGAGTCCTTATCAGCACTGTAAGAATAAAGAATACATATTTTCAGCTACATGAGTGATTTGAGTTCTTCCTTCAGCTCTGAATGAATCACCAGTGAAACACAACTGAAACAGAGGGACATGCTGCACAGCAGTTAGCACCATCTGCCTTCCCTCTGTTGGTATGTCTGAACTTGCGGCTGCTCTCTCTTTCTCTTGCTGCTGCAGTTTGACTGCATTTGTCCATCTTACACTGACATCAGTTTGATGTTTTTTTTTGGACTGTTCCCCCTGATATGAAATTATTTTGCCAGTTTTCTGACTGTCGCCTGATGACGCAATCACAGCACTGATTATTTGGCCTTGTTGAAGCTCTGTTATTTGTCTCATGTTACTTTGAAAAGTCACACCAAGTGTTTGATTTCCAGTCAACTCGAACAGCTGATATAATGCTGGTGTCTGGTACTCAACACGGAAAACGACCGAAACTTGTAGTAGAGCCCGAAAAATCATATCGGCGGCTGATATCATCGGCCAATATTGTCTTATATTAACATTGCAGCATGTTTCTTTATATCTCTTTTGGTTGAGATGCCTCTATGAGCCAGTGTCTTTAAATTCTTTAAATTCACTTGCACAATCACCATAAAGTTGGTTGCAAATGAGTATATAAATGTATGTGGTGCATTTGTATGTATTTGTGACATATTTTTCTCAAATTAAACATTTTCCTGTATCTGTGTTACCAGTATTAAAATTGTATTGTCATAAATGTAATATACAGTCATTTCAAGTGAAGGAGTCTGCTTAAAATTTTCTCTGATCTAATATTCCTTGTTACTGTCACCTTTGATAGTAAAGTTCTGCTATTTAACTGTTAAATATCCTGCCTCACTACATGTCAAGGCTCCTCCATATCCAAATTTGCATGTACAATGCCAAAAACGTCTGTTTATGTAAGCTGTTTGAGTTTTTAGCTCTCAAATATCAGCATCAGTATCAGCCTCAGAGATATCGGTCGAGTTCTTGCTTGTCATTGTGATTAAAATGGTTAAAATATTTTCTATGAACCGTTTTTCCTCTTTCTGTTGCCATAGTCTGGTGGTTTGTCTATTTTCTGTGCTGGAAATGACCAAACTTTGACAGAAACTAACATGTCTTCAATTCCAACTCTGCCACCAAAGGAAAAAGAAAAAAATCCATCACCAAGATGAACATAGAAAATTTCCAGGATAATCTATTACTTGAGCAAACAGTTTGATCATTTGCTTACATTTTTAAATCTCTGAATATATACAGCTGTAATAAAACTTGAAGGGCCTGTTGAGAGTCAGCAGAGGATTCACAGCAGTGAGAAGGTGAAGAACAAGAAGCCTCTTCTCCACGTGAGTCCATTTCCTCCTGGGTGTTTTTTTCAAACTTTGCTGTTTCACTCTCCGAAAGCTCGGTGAACCCCCCCCCAGTAAATTTACAGCACACACTAATCTCAGCTGACAGTGCGTTTCCATTGCCACTATGAAAGGCTGCAATACACACACCACTTAATTGAACGTTACATTCACTTAAACACACTTAAGGATAAGTGGAAAGTCCAAATACTGTAGCCTATCGTTTTATCTCAACCCCGTCATTTGAAGTTGCAGCCAAATGTTGCCTTCCACTGTCACTGGCAGCAGATGGATTGGGTCAACTGCAGTCCCATAATCCTCTGCTGCTCAGACAGGGTTTTCATCAAGAATGGGTGTTTTAAGTGGCTCTTAACTCTCCCAGTGCTTTCATCTGCCCAGTTGCCCCAGGGAAGCTTTTTTATTGCCTGCTATCTATAGCCTTCAAACATTTACATCACAGTGGCATAAGAAAATATTATTATGATCCAAGAGTCCACACAGACGCAAACACACAGCCATGATGGTAAACAGGTGTGCTGAGGTGAACAGGTTCTTACCTGACAAATATATGCTGCACAGAGGAAGTGGAAAACATTTCAAAATCCACTTGAGTTTCTAAAGTTTTTATATATAATTTGATTGATCTTTAGGGGTAAAACTTTGTGAAACAAAGGTTCTTTCTTAGGCTGAATGAGCATTTTGTTGTCCATGCACACGTGGAGTAAAACATGCTTCTTTTGGAGCCATGAACTCCCACAAACCTCCACACTTGTTGCACCGCACTGAACATCACATGCAGAATAATAAATCCCACAAAACATGGAAAAGTTTCTTACCCAGAACAGCGATGAGCAGCAGTGCAGATGACGGCCCCATTCCGCTTTTTTTTTTTTTCTTTTTTTTGGGGAGGTGGGGGATTGAAACGAGCTTCACTGGTCACACTGGGGAGCTGAGGTTTTCCTTTACGCAGCGTCCTTGTTTATTCCGACACAAATCCTCACATTATGGATCCAAAGCGTGGAGCACACACTCCTGTGATGTCTGCGCATCATAGGAAACACACCTCCGGTTGGTTAGAGAGAGAGAGAGAAAAAAAAAATCCCGCGGTACCTGAGCTTCAAAACAAAGAATCCCACCAAGGAAAGTCCAAACTTTTTGGGGGTTTTTTCTACGGGGATTAAACTTTGTATCACTGAGATAATTCAACGTGAAAGTGAGGCAGCGCGATCCTCCGTGCGTCCTGCGCCTCGGAGGAGTGTTTGTACGTGTGTTCAGAGACCAGACTGGATTGAACCCCCCTCTCCCCTCCTCCTCCTCCTCCTCCTCCTCCTCCTCCTCCTGCGCCTCGCCTCTGTAGGGATTTTGTGGGCGTGGAGTGTGTGTTGAAGTTTTCTCCCGTTAGGTGCGAACTGTACAAACGCCCATGTGCGTAAGGTGTGTTAGTCAACTGCTGAATCTGGAGATGCTTTGAGTCCTTAAATATCTTGAAATAAATTCAAATAACTTCAGTCATTTCACCACCACGTCATGCAAACTCACAAAGCTGCATCAAGATCATGGTGCCAAATCTCTCTCTGTACATTTATTCATGTATGTCTTATACAATAACCTCTCAAAATAAGACAACATATAGAAATTGACTTAAGTTAAAAAAAAACAAAAAAAAACAAAACAAACCTAAACATCATCCTTTTGTATGCACAAACCCAAACTGACAATCCCAGAATAAAATGCTTCTTGTTTTTAAACTCTTTGGTTCACATTCCTGATCCTGGTTTCTTCTGAAAGGTGCAATTTATCGGGTTTATTTGTATTTAAAAACAAAATTCAGATTAAACTCATTAATAAAGAGCCAAACTGTACAGAGACACAAACCAGGTAGATGAGAGAGTTTTTGTTTTAAAATATAAGCAGCTGCTGTTGAAGCAGTTAGAATGGTTTCCTGAAGGAGTCCAGTCGTCAGATTAGGATTAAACTTGTCTTATTTGGAACCAACGGATGGTTAAGTTGTGCTGAGACCAAACGGAGTCTTCACTGTCGAGTTTTCTTTCATTTCATTGGCTTCCAACATCCTCCTTGTTATCATTGATGATGGATGCTACACATTTTTCTTGACTGTGGCTCTCAAATTATCCACCTTCTCATCATTGTCTGTCTGCCTGGAGGGAAGAACAACAACAGAGCTTCAGCAGCACCTGTTGTGTGTGTGTGTGTGTGTGTGTGTGTGTGTGTGTGTGTGTGTGTGTGTGTGTGTGTGTGTGTGTGAGAGAGAGAGAGAGAGAGAGAGAGAGAGACCTTGGCCTTGAGTTTCTGTCTCTTTTCAACTTCTGTTTCTTTGCTGTTCTCTCTCTGATCTTTTGACCCGCAGGCGACTCTCCTCTTCTTTCCAGTCAGAGACGAAGCCTTTGAACACTGATTCTGCACAACAGCCCCTAACCTACTTTTTTCTTTCATCGTGATATATATATATAATCAGTTAAAACATACATTTACTAATTCTGAGCTTAAGTTTAACTTGAAATTGAAAAGAGAAAAGAAAAGAAAAACACACAACACAGTGTTTGCATTGTGAGTTACACCATCAGAAATCTACTACTCTTCTTGTTTCAGTGAATTCGGAGAAATGAGGAAAAGATCCCGTTTGAGCTTCAATGCAACTTGACCACTGACAGTTTGGTTTTGCAGATTTGGGTGTGTTATGTTAATCGAGGTCCATTGTAGTGTCAGGCTGCTGGCCCGCAGCAGAGATGAGGAGCAGGCCACAGAGGTCTGGCAAACTTCTTCTTCTTCTGCTTCCTCTTCTTCTTCTTTCTAATGCCACACCCTCAGACTTGTTTCATTTTTAAACTCGCAGTAACCAACCCCAACGCACTCTAGTGACATCATCTACACAACTGTTGTCACATATGCAGTGGTATGACTCGCTAACAGACTTTGACGTGTAGGTAGCTCAGTCAGTAAAAACCCATGCCCAACTTTATTTAAGATTCTAGTGCAGAACCCAACGTCTGAAACATCACAGGGAGAGTTTGCATTGGAATGTGTATAAAACGATGCACGAGACATTCAGAACATTTTCATTGATTACATTGATTATTGACTTCAAATAATCGATTGATCATTAAGTTTATAAAATGCTGGAAAATGCCCATCACAAGCTCCCAGAGTACAAAGTGACGCCGTGATATTTGATTTGAAGGGATGTAAAACATTGAAAGGCAGCAGATTCTTACAATTAAAAAGCTCAAACCAATTCATATTTGGATGTTTTCCTTGATGGTTGGTTGATTATTTTTCTGTCTATCAACCACTTGTGCTTTGAATTTGTATGATACTATCACACAGAGTAGAAGAAAGACCTTAAACCTGCTTAAGAGAAGAAAAAAAAGGAGGGAAACATGGTTGGAAACAGGATTACAGACTTAAACTTAAGTGTTCAGTTCTGTTACACAGCCAACTTAAAAAATGGCAAAGTGTCAAGTGAACATGTGTTTTGAAATCCTATAATACTTTTTACAGTTCCATACTTTCACACATGGAGAGAGGTGATAGTGATGGAGGCCCCACCACACACACAAAAAAACAGTATTTCATCTTCTTATCCAATAATCCTCCAATCCTTAATCAGCAGAGCAATTCTCCACTGAGGGAGCTCTAATTAATTTCTATTGTTTGGAGTCTTAACCCTCGCGGCTGCCTCCCTCAGTACTCCTCCATGGTATTTGCTCTTTTCCACCTAATCCTGGATCCACCGCTCTGCGAGAGTGACTCCAGCCCTCCTCTGTCTCTCTCAGCTCAATTCCTTCTTTTCTCAGGATCCGGAAAAGCCGCAGAAGCGAGATCCGGACAAACAGACTGATGGGATTTGGAAGAAGAAGCCCCGGAAGGCGTATTATTAAGGCGGCTGTATAGAGGGAGAGGCTGGAGGCAAGGAGGTGAAACTGGGAGGCTTGTTCTGGTGTGTTGACCCCTGTGTTGTCCTGTGTGGCTAATCAAAGCATCACTGCACTCTCTTTGTGTCTCCTCAGGAATGTGATCTATGTGAGGTGGAAATAAGGCTGCTTTGATTGTCAAAAGGCTCAGTGAGACAGTAAAACCAGAGAAAATGTGCATCTAAGTTATTTTGCTATCACATTTCCTAAAAGAAGTGGTGATATTATCCTATAAAAAACTGTCATTGTGTGACATGATTATGATTATTCCTGTAAACGCTGAAAACTTCTTGTTCTCTCTTTAAACAGCGAGGGATCTTTCTCACATGTTTTTTGCATTAGGCCTTTATCGTCTGTGTCCCTAAACATGTCAGAGCAGATGAATGTGAGTGGGGACATTTCAAAGTGGCCGTCTGCCTGGTCCTGATTAAAGCCGTGTTCTGAAGATCTGGATGAGTGCGCTGTTTTCTGTTTGCCTCTCTCTCCGTGGCTCCCTGCAGACGTTTGTGTCATTTCTACAGGGTGCTGTAAAAACTCAGAACGAGAAGGGAGTGGCGCACAATGAAACATAAACCTCATACTGAGTTATGGGATGTTAATTGTTCAACTGTTGATTGTTTTGTTACTGTACATCAGGCCAGAGGAGTTACTGACTTAGATTACTGACAGCAACAGCAATGTGTTTTCAGTGACATGTTGTCGTCTTGAGTTGAACCTCTCCCCCGGTCACTCGGTACAAATCCGTGCTGTGCAGCCAAGCTTTACTCAACAACGCAGGATTTTATTTTAAATCACTGGTAGAAATCCCAAAGCTTCTAAATATACCAAATATATCAGGCTGACTTCTGGGGAAATGTGGAATTGTTCAGCCACATCAACTATGAAGCGTCAGGTTTGAATATTTAATTCAGTGTGAACATCTCATACTGTGGGTTCAATGAAGAGCTGGAACACTGGATTTTGTTCTTCTTGCATCTTAGCCAGATGCCATTCAGCATGCAGTTAAAGGAGCTCTTCAGCAATTTGTTTTTCTTTTTTTGGTACAACCGACTTCTCTTTTCAACACAGCTGAAAAAATGTTTTCCATGTAACAGGAAGGTGTGATGCGAGTTTTATCGTGCTGGGATCGAGAGCATCCTCAGCTTTGGAATAACTGTCTGTAATGGAAACACAGTACAAACTCACAGGCCAGGAGCGTCTGTCTCTTGCTGAAATCAACAGAAAAAGAGACACAAGATGCTTCATCAATCAATCAATCAAACTTTATTTGTATAGCACTTTTCGTACAGGCTAGTGCAGTTCGAAGTGCTTCACAGATGACTGATGAGCAGAAAAGAAGAGGACAAATCAAGTAAGAAAGCTGACAATGAGATGCAAAAATAGATTTAAAGAGCTATAATGACATTAATAAACAAAGAAAAAGAAAAAAAAGAGATGCTTCATGACTCCTCTCATCCTCTGATGACATGTGATTTTCTCAGACTGTAGAAAGCCCCTCCAGAGGAGACGTTAAACAACTGTTTTCACAGGCTGAGTTCAGCTTTTCATCGCAAGTAAACCGATCTTGTGCGATAAAACGCATAAAATACATTTTCAAACACTTCTCAGCCCACACTGGCTCTAAGTGCAGAATGGTGATCCTCCACCACCTCTGCTGTTTCCCTCCCTCAAGCCAAACAATGAGTCAAACATGTGAAGTAGCCCTGAGCCCAGTCGAGAAGGCCCTGCTCCAAGTTCAGTTTCAGTATGGCCGACATCTGCTGCTGCACAGACAGTTGAAACAGTACAGTTAAATCAATCCAGACAGAGAGCGGGAGACAGAGAGACAGAAAGAGGAAAAAAAAAGAAGAAAAAAAAGAGAGGAGAAGAGGAGGGGAGGGAGGTCTTTTCATCTGTGTTGCGTTGGTAAATACTCCCATGTGCAGTGAGAGGTCCCATTGTGGA